TTGTTCACAAATATCCTTCAATACATCCAATGTTAAAGTATTTTGCTCCATTCTGTATTAGCAAGTCAAGTTTAAGTGTTCTTCTCCTTTAATTGTAATCTTTAGTTCATTTTGGTTCCCTCTAGTGTCCAACCTTCAAAGTCCGATCCTATCATGTTTTTTTTCCCCCAGTATTCAAAACAATAGCTGTTTCCCACAGGAAAGTTTCTTATAATCATTTTCAAAATCTTATTTCAAATCTATCTGGAAAGTCTGTTTATAACTTTCTGAAAACAACAGTCTAATCATCCTTTTGCCATTTATTCCCCATAAAAAGAATTTTTCTAAGTCCTTAAACCTGTACTTAAAACTTCTTTTGATAAGTATTGAAGAAACCTCACCCAGTGAATGCCATAAAACCTGCTGCTCTGACGGTTCTTAATATTTGAAAAGCGGTAAAAAAGTAATTCCAAAAGTGATTAAGAAATGAGGTTTGGCCGAGCTTTATGTCCATATAGCTGCATTACGACTGTGAGCTTAGTTGGAATCCCTCAACTCCCAGCTGCTTGACTTCCCAGTTGATCCCAAAAACCTTGGTTCCTGCAGTCTACTCACAAGGAGCAGCTGTCTGGAGTACATGTGGGCAACCTCTGGAGAGATTTCATTGGCTGGGATCCACCTGCCAGGCACCAATCGCCATAATGCCGTCCCTGCTTCTTCAGGGACGTCTAGCTCACCGTGTCCTCATTGGAAGTCTCTGGCTTAGAGTGTGAAATTAATTATTAAGCCCTTGATTGTGGTGCTAACTTACATGCCTCCTTCCTGTTCCTTCAAGAATTGGCTGCAAAGTGATGTTCTTTCAGTGGCGCTTATAAAAAGATTGCTTGAGAAAAATATTTACATAGATTTTTATATGCAGAAATGACTACAGGTAGTCCCCAGTTTAGAACAAGTTCCGTTCCCAAGTCTGTCCTTAAGTCAAATTTGTATGTAAGTCAGGACAGTATTATTATAGAATACTACATTAATAGTATCGTGTAATTAATTCAAATCGTGTATTTAATTCGAATTTTGCTAGAATAGGCTCCATTCTTATCTATAGATCGTCATTAAACTGGATGTTCTTAACCTGGGGACTACCTGTATTGTGTAATTGCTATTCCACAGCTTGCAGAAGTAACCTTTTTCACTTCTAATATCAGCCATTATTCATTCACTCGGCTTGCTTTCAGGTTACTAACATTTACATATATATTAAACATAAAATACAGAATTTGGACCCATACCTCATGCTAAGCCATAGTTACTTTAACCATGATTTACTGAATAAGTCGCAAAATCATGGTTTTAAAAAATTCAATGCTATGTCTGCATAACATGCTAAGCCAAAATGAAACCTCATTATGGTTAATGTAACATATGAATTGTTTCATTCTGCGTGCTGATATAAATGTAACTTTTTCTGATGGGTGCTTCTGACTTGTTAGGTTCTTAGTTTGTCCTCTTTTTAAAATCATAATATATTTATATCAATTCTCTCCAAGTAAATTTCAGTCTGAGATGCTTCAAATTGTCAGTTTCTTCCCAGGCATCAGTTTTAAAGAGATCTCAAAAAATTCTTTTATTTTTAGTAACAGCATTCTGCTTGGGGTTCCTTTTGAGTCCATATCCTGAAATTCTTGAGTTCTTCTTGTCCCTAAATATTATGCTATATATTAAAAATCTAGAAGCTTCCTACTGAGCCATTAACTCAATTCATACCAATGGAGTCCTCATGAAACAGAGTATACTTAGAAAATGCTACCAGAGAGACTTTATTACTGATCCTCTTGTGTAGTAATAGTCTCCCAGACTACATTTTCCATTATCTTTCAAGACATTAGTTATCTGCAACAGCATGGGAGTGCAATCTCTATGGCAGAGGACAATGTCACATACACTGGGGACTACTTGTATTGGTTTCTTGGTTATCATGAGCTTAGCCATTGTGGTGTATGTAGATCAAGCTTTTTCTTGAAGAGTCCAAGCATGTTTTACCAAGAGATCAGTCTTCTCTAAGACATTTTCACTTCCTTCTGAAAAATCAGAACTTAATTTTGCTAATTGTAGAGGTGACTGTTATTTTCTTCTTCTCAGATCATTTCAGACTTAGAATCCTGGAATGATGAACTGTCTCAACAAATGAATGATTTTGACACTGAGGATCTTACAATAGCTGAACAAAGGCTTCAGCACCATGCAGACAAAGCACTAACCATGAATAACCTGACTTTTGATGTCATCCACCAAGGACAAGATCTTCTACAATATGTCAATGAAGTTCAGGCTTCTGGTAAGATTTGCTCCACTTCAACCAGGTTAATGGATTTATTGAGACTGACTTCACAAGAATTACTGATTTTTAATACTATTGTACTGCTGAAAGAAATAGGATATGTCAGGTATTTTGCTTTTGGAGGGGAAAAGATATTCTCTTAAGGTTTAGAATAAAATATATTTTACTGGGAATTAGTAAATATTCTAGTTTTTACAATAGGTGGCCATATAATCATTTTTTTCAGACTGACAGATATGACATCCACACTGTCTTGTATAAGTAACAGAAAAGTTAACTCTACCTTGCCAAATCTCCTTGAGATTCTGCAGACGGCAAGGAAGGGCACCAGGTTGGGAAGATGTGTTAGATAATCCTGACATGGCAGATTACAGAGAAGGATTCAGTGCTCATACTCATATCACTGTATTACACTGAGTTTGTGTTGGTGTATACAGTACAAATTAACAACCTCTTCTACTGCTTCCACATGTTTCATGTTATAGAAAGATTAGTGGGAACTGTACTGAAAATCTGTTGGAGATATAATATGTGTAAGGATAGGCAAATTCACAACTTGGCGTGTGAAATTATATGGAGCTGGTTAGCCATATTCCATTCCCAGTAATAGTTTGTCTTCTTTGATCATATAGGCCACATGTACCCATAGCCTCCACATCAAAGCACTAATAATAATATGAATAAACCGCTGGGTTTTTTAAACATTATAGTTTCCTCTGTGTAAGGCTGTTTGTAATGGAATACCAATTGCATAGTGATTTAAAACCGCAGAACAAAAGATTGTGGTATCATTGGATTGTAAGTGTAAAGTATAGCCAAGTCACAGGGAGAAATGAGTTTTGATAAAAAGCAATAAAATTAGGGCTTGCATCTCTTCTGAGCACCAACTATAGCACATAAACTATTCTTAACCAAGTGGGGTTTTTTTTCAGTATCCCATAGAAATCAACAAGGTAATCCATTTTGCAGTGCAACTGATGAACTTGCTATTTTAAGTTATGCATGGCGGTTTACCATGTTAAAAGAATATGACACTTTAAACATAGACCTGGATTCAGCTTCCTATCTCACCCCTTTCCAGTTTTGGCAGCACCAAGTACAACATGATTCTACTGTTATTGAAAGGGGCAGAATCATTTTTGGAGCCCTAATGAGTCTGTTCTTTGTAAAAAAAATTCCTTCTCTTCACCACCTCATCCCAATTGGATATACAGACATTTTATAGCATATGGGCTAGATGCCTGCCCTTAAATCAGCTTTCCCTAATCTAGTGCTCTCCAAATGAATTGGAATATAACTACCCATAATTTCCATCCACCATAACAAAGGCTGTGAATTATTGGAGTAGTAATTCAAGAATAATTGGTTGAGGATGACTGCTTTAACACTCCTTGGTATGCATATGTACACATAGTTAATGGATGCACCGGTTTAAATGTTTATGCACACAGTTAAAATGCTTGTATAATTGCAAAATTAAAATTAAATATGTATCCTTTAACAGGTGATGTATGTGAGGTTTTAGTGAAGCATACCATATGGGAAGGTATAACTTATGGGTGTGGTTATAGGTGTTGAACTGCTCTGTGACAGAGATGTGGACATGGCAACTCGGGTTCAGGACTTGCTCGAATTCCTCCACGAGAAACAGCAGGAGCTGGACCTGGCGGCAGAACAACATCGGAAGCATTTAGAACAATGTGTACAGCTACGCCATCTGCAGGCTGAAGTCAAGCAGGTATAAGGCAACTGTGGTACTTCATCTCTATTCCATACCCAACTGTGGATATAAAATGAACTTGCAGTCAACCCAAATCGTTTTTTAAGCAATCGTATTAATCTGTTAGCAAAACTGACAGACATGTCAAGCAGTTCATTTGAATTATTCCCACTGAAATTATCTAGAAAGTTCAGCCGATTTCCCTTCATTCCCATTTCCCAAATCCCAAATTTTTGAACTACAAACCACGTGTATCTGTGAAGGATAAATGGTAAGGATCCAAAAGAAGAAGTGCAGTGAGGCCCCATTGCTGTATCTATCCAGTAATATGAATGTGCTCTGGTTCAAATTCCATGTTTATCATAAAGCCATATTGTTAATCATTGGGTGGGTTGGCACATAACATTAACACAACTGAGCATTATCTATGGATAAGTGAAATGCTCCAAGGAAGACGAAAAGAGAAAAAAAAATACCCATAGATATTTCAGTTAGAGTTGCAGTCATCAGGCATAGGGTAGAAGAAGGCCAGATCTCCCTCCAGCTTCTGTTTCTAAAGAGAAGCCCCTGCAGAGTGATGGAAAAGCAGAGGAGACAGCAATTCTGCTTTTTGCTCAGTTTAAAGGATGACTCTGGGGTAGTTAACCATTTGTTAGTCTTGTTCCAGGAGTCTGACATGTGGTGGCATGACTTCATTTATTTATTTATTTATTTATTTATTTATTTATTTATTTATTTATTTCATGGACTTGTCCCCACCCATCTCCCCACAATGGGGGACTCTGGGCGGGTACTTTAGTTTAGGTACTTAAACTAAAGCCAGTCCTTAGCTTCAGATTGTGGTTAAGCCAATGAACTGTAATGGCTATCTCTTTGATAGTCCAAGCTTGGAAAGTAAACTATGCTTATGTGATGAGTAATTGTATCCAGTGACTGACCTGAAAGTTTAATCAGTCAATTTTGGGGACAATTATTATTATTTTTTGCAATAATTATGGGAATATATTTTGTACTTTGCTAGAAATGCTAAAGATTATTATATTGTTAAATTATAAATTAAGGAAGGCACAATGATATTTACTTGGGATGAAAGTAGAGTGCTTTTTCATTCTTTCAAATAAAAAATATGTCAATGGGCTGGTTAACAAAGACACAATCTTTTTTTTTTTTTTTAGAGTAGGAACACTGATATCAATCTTCCATTGTCAATTATGAGAATTCTAGAATTTCATTTCCCATTATTTCATATTTGTATTAATTTCAGGAAGTAGAAATTTATTCTGCCACAAGTAACCTTACTCCAAAAATATAAGTCCTATTTTTAACCAAAGAAGGAAGACACATTAGTATTTTCTAAGATAGAAAAGTCTTTATAGCTCAGCAGGTGCTTGATCAGATATAGTAGAATAAACCATGTTTGTTGTGTTACCTTCCTGTGGCATTCAGTGCATAGTTTCTTCTAATTATGATGTTTCCCTGCCAAATTGGCTGCCCTTGAACTCTGACACCTAAAAACACTTAACACAAACTAAAATAGGAATGATAAGAATGTGTTGAGACTGTGCTATTGCTGTTTTAATAAGTGTGCCGTACAGAAATGCAAATATTTAAACATGTATATTCTAAAGCATTCCCTATAAGTTCAATATCTGATAAACAAGATGAATTTCTTTAACCTTGTTGCAGTTTCATCTTCTTTTCAGTTATGAGTATCTTCAGTATAATAAAAAGAAAATACATTTTAGTCCATAAAGATGGAAGAATTTCATCACCACAGGGCTTTGTCAACTTATTTGTTTGTAATATATCTCTTTCCTGTAAATACATATCTACAATTAGTATTTTGTTCTGATGAAAATATGCACAACACCATTTTGATCTGCCACTAAAAATATAACAACTTTTATTTTCTAATCCTGGGTTTAATGTAAGCATTTATTAGCAGAGTTCAAAATGAGAGCGAACTCTTGGATTTTTATTTGTTTTTTTCAGTAAAAATTAAGACTATATAAATTGTGACTGTTATTGCAAAATGATAATTTCTCTAGCATTCGCACATAATTTCAGAAGTTCTCTTGTATTAGGTGTGAGCTTGGCTAACCTAGCCAACTCTATCCATTCCCTCACTTGAATTTGTTCTACTTTCTCTGAGTGGTTCTTCATAATATCTAACCATTGTTACTTCCCCATAAAGAATTCTTCAGAATCCTGATTAACAAACATAATGGTAGGGCAGGTTTCAGGATGGAAGAGGTGACAGTGCCATCTTATGAGCCCAGTGTCCTGAATTTTGCTAAGGTTATCGAAAGAAATGAAAACTAAAGTAACTCATCATCAGTCCCCATCCAATGTGAAACAAATCTCCCATCTTTAGAGGGTTTTTTTTTTAATGTTATAGTACTGTTTTTATTGTAACTTGTTTTAAATTGTATCCCCTTGCTCTGGGACTGTTTTACCAATAGAAAATGGATAATAGATAAAAGATTAATTGTACTGCTCAGACGTAAGAGAAGCTTCTATGTTGCTGCTGTCCTGCATTTCATTTTAGGTATTGGGCTGGATCCGAAATGGGGAGTCCATGTTAAATGCTGGCCTGATTACAGCTAGCTCACTGCAGGAGGCTGAGCAGCTACAGCGTGAACATGAGCAGTTCCAGCATGCAATAGAGGTATAAGTGCTTTCTGTTATTAAACTTGATTTGGTAGTCTAAGAGACTATGTAAAGGCAGTCTTTTGAAATATGGGCTAGAAGTATATATTTGTTTTTAATATGCCAGATTCTGTGTGTACAGATTCTTGCCTCCCACATGAACAGGTGATCCAGAGCTAAGATTATCCTTGCATGATTGATTTTTCATAAATCTACCACTGCCTGCATCTTATGCATGACAAACAGTATCTGTCAGTCACCTGTACACCTGCTGGGGCATATTCACATGCAAAACACTGTTGTGTTGCATTTACTCATAGCACAACTTGCTGCAAAGGGTTCATTGTCTTTTCTTCCAAAATATGAGAAATAGAATTTGGAAAAGGTCATATTTAGGTAGAGAGGCCTCTACCTTGCCTCTCCGGCTATGCCTGCCTGAAACTCTAG